TCTTATTTAATACAAGCTCGTAATGATACTGATGGAACACGAGTGGGTGAAACAAAAATCCTCTTAGTTTTATAAATTATTTCAGAGCTTACCTTAAAACGACGTTTCGTTAAGGTGGAAAGGTCGAATTCTTTCTTAAGCACCTGTGAAATTTGTTAAACCTTACAAGACCGACGATAATTTGATGAGTTCTTCAGAAGGCGATTTAACTCGAACGGTGTCTGTCAGAATAAAAGGGTCATATGCAAATAGCTAATATCTTAAGGGCTTGATTTCTGAGAAATTATGCTGCTAAACATACAATGGAAATCATAATAGATCCGTTGTCTTTAACATTGCGTGACATTCTCAGAAAAACCAGAAGTTTGTGGACTTTCTAGAGGAAATGAGTCATAAATAGAGAATAATACCTGTGCGCGCATAGATAAGGAATTTCTTTTTGAGTGTTTAACTCGATAGCTCACGAGTGAGATATCAAGCTGAAAACGAGAAAAAAAATTCATATCTACGCGCGCTCATGTATTATTCTCTGTTAATGACGTTGATTATAAACATGTTATGGAAAATCACAATAGATCTGGTTTCTTTTTACCATTGCGTGGCATTCTCAGTCACGTAGGCATGCGTAGATTGTAAGAGATATTTTTTAAGCTGGATAGGTCGAGATGAGACACTACGTTCCCAATGTTTTCATGACTTTCAAAAGAACGAAAACATCGCATTATTTAACAATTGGTTCATGCGTCAGCGTGCGTTCATCGAGATATGAAGCACGCGGGAAGTTTGGAGAGCACAAAAGATGCGTAAGAGTTGCTCGAGGCGCAGCTGAGTGCAACTCTAGCTTCTTGAGTGCTCTCCAAACTTTCCAAGCGCTTCATATCTCGACGAACGCACAGCTGACGCATGAACCAATTGTTTTATAACGTTTTCAACCTGATGAAATAATATTTTTTTTCCTCGAGGGATTTGTTTGCTGACGTCATGAGTGTGGACAATAGGAATATGAAGCACGCTCGCGCAATTGAATTTGATTAGACAAATTTACTAGCTATGTTATAATTAACTTTAAGAGAAAGAGGAAAAACCTAATTTATCTAAACTCACACTTAACAATTGGTTCTTACGTCAGCGTGCGTTCATCGAGATCTGAAGCACGCGGGAAGTTTGGAGAGCACGAAAGATGCGTAAGAGTTGCTCGAGGCGCAGCTGAGTGCAACTCTAGCTTCTTGAGTGCTCTCCAAACTTCCCAAGCGCTTCATTTCTCGATGAACGCACAGATGACGTATGAACCAATTGTTTTATAACATTTTCAACCCGATGGAAAATTTTTTTCTCTAGGGATTTGTTTGCTGATGTCATGAGCGTGCACAATAGGAATATGAAGCACGCTCGCGCAATTGAATTTGATTAGACAAATTTACTAGCTATGTTTTAAAGGTATTTTGTGGTCTATTGTCTCTATTGTCTAAATACTTCTGAGCAAAAAATGCATCGGTGCTACGCTTACTGTGGTCTCCTTCGCAGCCTTCGTTTGGTCTCGTCACACAACCCCCCTATTCGACGTTGGAGAGTGAGCGCGTTGCGTGATGAGAGACGGCGGCGAAACAGGAAGACGACTAGATGACCGATTCCGAGAACACCTTCGCGACGTGGAAAGAAATGACAAGGACGCATCCAAACCAGTCGCTAAATACTTTGATCTTCCTAATCATTCTAAACAGCATATGGCAGTTAAGTCGTAAAGCACTAGAACAAAAATTTATCTTCCAAATCGGCACCCTTAATCCCCACGGAATCAACGAGCACTTCTCATTCAACTAATTTATTCCTGTTTTCTTGTCACCATATTCCCACCAACGGCGTAGCTCCACTTTCTGCATCTAAACCCACACACAACCCACAATTCCTCCAATCGCTCTGACGAAGGGCTAACGCTCGAAACGTCAGCTTTTTTACCCTTTACGGTGGCTAATTTACGTTTTCAACCCAGTTGTTAACACTAAATTACCAGTTATCTAGTAATCTTGTAATGTTATTCATACTTCTAAGGTAGACTGGACTGAACATTGGTTGAAAGGTCTGATCGTTTTCCACACGGCAACATTCCTATGTGTTATCTGCACAAGAACACACTGATTCTAAGAGCTAATTCAGCTTTCTTTTCTTTTGAAGAGAGGAAATCAAGTAGTTCTTTATTCACTCAAGAATGATAGAGTTTTCTTTTGAAGAATTGCTGTATTTGTTCACTTTGATCTTTATTGATATTTTGTGTTTTGTGGGTTCATTTCTATGAACTCTTGGTTGGTGAGGAGAAACTGAGACATATTGGTTAATTGACATATTAAGAGAAGAGTTGGATATAGGAATCTGAAAATGAAAATAAATAAGATATTTATTTGAGCTTTTCCTTGTTTATTCAGGAAAATGAAATGAGTAGAACCCTGTCTTAAACTAACAAAACAATTAGACATTCACAAATTACCTTTATTTAATGTGTTATTTTTTATATAGGACCTTTGCAAAGGAGCAGTATTTTGATTCAGCTGGTTTGTTCATTACAGTTGTGTATTAGGGTCCAATAGTTCTAAACTGCTTTGTTTTGACCATAAGTAGTGGAATAGATTACATTTAATTCTCAAGTTATACTATCAAATAAGAGCCCCTTTAAAGAAACACCCATCAAATTGTCCAAAATATTTAAGAAATGCCCCTTCTTTGAACAGGCACCTTCAACCACTTGTTTTTAGAGAAGAGTGATCATGTTTGTTGGATTTTCACATTCATTCCATACTTTTGTCCAGTTTGTAAACACAGTGTTGAAAAAATAGCTGTGAGTACCCACTGCCCCTATCTGAAAACAAGATGATCAGCTTTGTGCATGATTACATGCTTTATACTGTTATGATATACAAATGATATATTACAAGAAATGATCATATCTGGCACCTTCCCTTTCAGTTAATGGTCTCCTGTCATCACCCAAACTCAAAATTGATCTTTCTCAAGTTCCAGATTTCCTTGATGTTGTTTTAAATGGGCCTTTTGTTATAACAAATTCCCTTTCTTGGTTGCTTCACCAATTTTCCATGTTTAACACATAGGTATTTTGAACAAGCTTTCACAGCTGCTAGGCCTAAGGTGTCTAAATAAAGTATTGTTGTTGTAGTTGTTGTTATTTGGTCCACTCTATATCATCACCAAAACTAAACTCTACTGAGTCAGGGAAGTGGTTGTATAATGTACTCAGCTCAGTATTTTGCCCATTGGACAGAATATACTGACTTTTTCTGCTTGTCCTTCTTGGCAATGAAACCCTGCTGTTATATTTCAAGGTCTCCTGGCTGTGCACACGGTGGAAAATGATGATAGTGGTAAAGAGAGGACAACTTAAAGAACTGAAGAAGAAAGAAAGAGAAGAAAAAAAATCACAAAAAGATCAGGAGTATGAACGGGCTATCAAGCAGGCTATCAAGCGGGCTACCACCGTGCCCAACAAATCAATCGACAGGCAGCACTACAAACGGCTGAGGGAACACTGACCGCATTCCATTTACTCTTACATTTCACCCTCACAACCACGCTGTTAAATCTATCATTCTTAAAAATTTTAAATTACTCCAAAACGATTCAGAGACTGGCACTATCTTTTCGCAACCCCCACTTATTTCATTCAAACGTGACAAAAACGTAGGCAACTTTTTAGTCAGGAGTTCATTTCAAACCAATGACCAATCTGGAACTTTTAAATGCGCTCGCTCACGATGCAAAACTTGTCCTTTCATTCATAACGTAGGGAAAATATCGGGACCCAAAAGATTCATTAAGATCATTGATCACTTTACATGTACCTCCGCCAATGTTATTTACTGCATAACTTGCACTTATTGCAATAAGTTATACATCGGCGAAACAGGAAGACGATTGGGTGACCGATTCCGAGAACACCTTCGCGATGTGGAAAGAAATGACAAGGACGCATCCAAACCAGTCGCTAGACACTTTAATCTTCCTAATCATTCTAAACAGCATATGGCAGTTTGCGGCCTTTCCTTACATCTAGGCAGTTCGGAAAGCCGTAAAACACTAGAACAAAAATTTATATTCCAAATCGGCACCTTTAATCCCCACGGAATCAACGAGCGCTTTTCATTCAACTAATTTATTCCTGTTTTCTCGTCACCATATTCCCACCAATGGCGTAGCTCCACTTTCTGCATATAAATCCACACACAACCCACAATTCCTCTAATCGCTCTGACGAAGGGCTAACGCTCGAAACTGCAGTTTTTTTACCCTTTACGGTGGCTAATTTACGTTTTCAACCCAGCTGTTGACACTAAATTACCTGTTATACTCTCCCGCCGACGCAGCACCACAGTTTCTTTAGAAACTTACCCCTTTACAAGATAACTGCATTCAAAACAAATCATTCTTCGAAACGCTTACGACAAAATAAAAGTAGCTCACAAAATAGGGATAAACTCACAGCTTTGACAAATTCCAAAATACTATCAATTTGTTTTGTGGGGATCCATTTATCACCACGTAGAGAAAAATGTTGTTTCGTCTTTTTGAGACTTCGATTTGTGATAAGTTATCACGTCGTACAGAAGGAACACGCTTTCTTCAAGGCGTTACATATAAAAGAGTAAGACTAGGACTGAGTTATTAACCGCTGGCTATTTCATGAGCCAGCAGGCTGAAGAATCAAGATTATAATTATAAATTTACATATCAAAGCAAAGTTAAAGAATACAGGTGATCATACATTATATATTTTATCCAAACAGCTGACTTACTTGTCCTTGTACTTAAGCTAAAATATATTTCATTTATATGTTCAATGGCAACTAACAAACGGCAGTAAGAGAGGTCTGGCCTCAGTGTATCGTTCTCCTAACTTCATGATCGATTAGATATCGTTCATGAATATTCTCAACTTTGTTTGTTTATTGATCGTCTTTCAAACAGTTGTTTTCGGAAGTTAATCTCCTGCTGCAGTGATAATTCTCATTTCAATATTGTTGCCACTAACGCTTTTCTGTTGCCAAGTAATTTATTTTGCCATCTTTGTTGTGCTTCCAAGGAACGGTGATCAAGCGTAATCAAATTACATCGATCGTGGAAATGTCCAGATCAAAAAGTTTTAAGCGCTCGAAGAATCTACTCTGCTGTTGTATAGGAAAGGAACAATTTAACTTCATCTCGTTGTCGCGTGTGTAATCGAATTTAAAACTCGTGTTTGATCGGTACGTATTGTGAAATGAAGCCTCTGGAAAGTTAAATGGTTTTGGTTAAGACGATGTTTATACGAAGTCCGCGAGAGTTCGGAGCGTGGCTATCTACTGCGCTACCCCTCGTTTTTATTGTGGTCAATAACAGTGAGTCGTGCGGTAAGTTTATTTGTCTCCTGCGATCAAAATTTATTGCTTTCGATCAAGGCACGAGTGGTCGTCCTGTTTCCGTGCTTACGTGTGTCAAAACAAATCTGTTTTCCGATTTTCTCGAAAACGAAATTTTTAATTTTGGCTCTTACCATAAATTTTACCCTTCTATTCTTATATAGTCTCTCTTAACTTGTTAGATTAACAGATAAAATGTAAATATAAGAAAGAGTTACAGATAACAACTCATGCATTTGAAATTAATTTAAAAACAGTGAAGATCTCCAAGTCTTCTTGTTTTCATTAAGTTGACACATCCTTATCATCATGTGGTGCCTTATTTTTTTTACACTTGTCCTTTTCATTTTGTGTGTTCCTACATAAAGCTTTAGGTACTAACCTATTTTAAATTGAAATTCAGTGTAACCTCATTTAACTTTGGCTAGAATATATTTCACTTATCATTTCTGTTGATCACGATCCAATTCTCAGACTAAATTCAATGGAAAGTGTTGACATTACATTAATTTAACTTACAATATATGGATTTTGACTTGTATAGGTGACAGTTGACTATAATTATCTATTTGAAAACAAAAGAAAACACACACTACTCAAGGCACTTATTGCTTAGATACTGGTGTATGGTACTTCTGCCAAAAATATCGACAAATTCTTGTTTAAAGTGTTGTGATTGAGATATTTATGAATTGAAAAGTAATTATAACAACCTGTTACAATCAAGATGAAAGATTTCAAAAGCAAAGATCATTAGGGAGCCTGTCTTTATCAGCATAGGCCACTAATTAAAATTTTTCAATGTATTTCTTTCAATAATTAGAAGATGTCATCAGGTAGTCACTTGAACTGACCCTTCTTCCCAAATGTTTACTTTGAAAAAAAATTTGTTATCCCTGTTGTAGTATCTTGAACCTATGAATTTCAAATCCAGTAAAATGTTTTCCAATTCCTGCAAGCTCTTTGTAAGAATTCACCTGACGCAACAACCTAACTATTACTTTTGATTTTAGTTCTTAGGGTTTCTTGTTAAATAAGAAATCATCTCCTGGTTATTGTTGTTTTTTTAATTCTCATTACTACTAGGCTTGGCAATGTAATAATATTGTAAGGAGAAGTCATAAGTTAATTCCTTCCTTCCTGGGTGGCCACAATTTGATATGCTTCTTTCTATAGAAATGTTTTTAAATTATTTTATGACACAGTTTTTTTACATTCTACTTACTGATATGAATTTTTAATTTTTTTCGGATGACATCAAAGTGAACGCAGTAAAAATCTTTTAAATTTTACTCACTGATCTGAATTTTTAATTTTTCAGATGATATCAAAATGAGCACAGTTGCTCTGTTATTTGGAAATGTTACCATATCTCATTGGGATACTGGAAACAAAACATTGCTTTTTCAGAAAAGCACAGTGGATGCTGTCAACTTGCACTGCTCTCAAAATCCCAACCAGTGTTCTTTGAATTTCTGGAATGACTCAAGGTATTCTGGGAAAAATGGAGATATCCAAAGTAAAAATCATTATGGGACTTTTGTTGATTAAATAAGTACAACTGTTTTCCTCTCTGTAGATCAATTCAATAAAAGTAATTCAGGATAACATGAAAACTTGCACCACCCACCTTAACACCCTAACATCAGTATTCATATTCTCCATACTGTACTCTGTACATTTACTAAGGTGCTGACAAGGAGAATTTGTCAAACAATCAAGAGTTCTTTAGTTGGTGATTATTTCCTTTATTCTCATGACATTGATGTGTGATTCAATGGTGGCATTGTAAGGAGAAAATAGATCCTAGTCACTCCTAGGGGTTTAAGGGTTAATAAGTTTCTCACAAATCAGTCAGTTGTCTCTTTGCTATTTTTGCCACTCATTGGCTCATGAGGTTATAAACTTGTGTTTTGATTAGCTATTTGGTTTGTTGACAGTAGAATAAAATTACTGTTCTCTGTCAACATCTTGTGGATAATCCTTAGTAATTTTTTCACTCACCTGCTAGCATAGCTTAACAGCTGATTATCATTTTCAGAAAATTTACCACCAAAAATGCAGCATTTGTTGAATCTCCCAAACAAGAAAAAAATGATGTTTTGATCCAGTTGTTTGTGACCTTGCCTGAAGGAAGAGACCTCCGACAAGACAGCTGCAGTGTTGTTCCTGGAACAACTCTCCTGAAAATTGTACAAGATTTTAAGCACAACCTTTCATCTATGGTAGGAGTTGAAATCAAGTCAGTCACACTGAACAGCAAGTCGGAAGGAGGCAGAAATGATAATAAATTAAACTACATAATGATACCGATAAGCTTTTCTGTGTTGGTCATCTTGTGCCTTGTAGCCTGTTGTCTTCACAATGCCAGGTATGTCTCAATCTATGAAAAATATATCACTTTTAAAGATATGATCTTTGCATATAGGCTCCAATGAACAAAAGCAATTGCAGAAAGAAGCATCACAATATTAAGGCTTCAACAGACATGTGATTTTAAAGTTCATTTGGTAGAAACGCTGTATGATTGTTTGCAAGAGGCACAGGTTTGAATCTTGTTGTCACCTGAATTTGTCAAGCTTCTATTCTACAATTGCTTTATTTGCAACATACCTGTTTTATATATTTTATTTACATGTAGATCATCTGTCTGTCTAAATGTCATTTATCTCATTACATTGTGAATTCCTCTACAAAAAAAGAAGTTCTACTTAAATTTGCCCCACTCCAAGCTTGTGCCTTTGTAGCTTAGTTGGTCACAGCACCCTAACTACTACCCAGTAGGCCTGGGTTTGAAATCCATCATAGCCTGAAATTTTTCAAACATCTTTGCTTTGATTACTGGAATTGCAGCTCACCTGCAAATACCATTCCTTTTACATGTAAGATAAATATTGTTTACTTAATTACGTTAGATCACTGGCTGCATAATGAAGATGACTAGCTATGTAGTGATTGATTGCTATCAATAATATTTTTGAGAGGGAAACTTGACTTTTTACTGCAATTCATTTAGAATTCGTATTTCTTTCTTTTGTCGCTTTTTCATCGATGTTCTATTTTTTTTTTTGGCGTAGTTTCTTTTGTTTGTGTCATTCGTATAAATTCATTCGGCTTCATCATTTAAACTGTGCCGGATCGTTTTCCTCAATCGTTTTATTTCGTCCTTAACCGTTAACCAGCCATTTGTCCCCGGATCTCGTACAACTCTATTTTGTTTTCTCGTTTGTCGATTTCTTTACGCATAATTGTCGTAACTTATTATTTGAAATTTTATTTTAGCAACCGCTTTGATTGTTCAGTTCGCAACAATACTCCGGTTTGTTTCTTTTATTGTTAAAGAAAATTAAAGAGTATGCTTTAAACATGTAGGAGTAACTTTGGTCCTATCATTTCATAATTATTTAAAGTTTTCTTTACACTTTGTTTTCAAATTTGTGTTTCTTGAATAGCATGTATTCTTGCCCATACAATGTGTGAAGTAACTGAAGATCTTGAGACGCATCGTGTCATACAAAATAGCACCATAACTATACGAATAGTCCGTGTCTCATGCGATCAAAGCTTATGAGTTAAACTCTGACAATTTCCGTGCCAGCTGTATAGTTTTAGTCATTGTCAGAGGACAAGAGACTTTTAACCGAATGATTCTGGCATTCGAGGAAGTTATATCCAGCTTTCTTCCACCATTCGACCACTTTTCTCACGCACTTTGTTGACTGTGGATGCATTTCCCAGCTGTCATCATGATAATCGTCGCCGTGAGTAGGATTGAAAGCGCCTGAAATGGTCTTAAATTCACCATTAATGATTCCAAATCCTTCACCGACCACGTTCACCTTTTTGCATGATTCTCCGAAAGCTTTTCTGTATATGATGCCGTGGACTTTTCCCGGTTCGCTCTGCCATTTTTTCTGTTGCTCTTTAAATTCTTCGGTGTCAGTTTGCATGATAACAACATATCCACTTTTGCCGTGTGTTCCATTTGCCGTGTACCAATCTCCTTCTCCTTCGCGGCCGTAGATTATGATTCCTCCGTACATGAAACGACCTCCTCGGTATGGATCTGATTTGCACGAGATGTGAATCGTGTCAACGACGAAAACCCTGCCTTTCAAACTACCACCACCTCGTGGCAAGACCATAAAGCAACGATTTTCTTCTCCCTCTACGTATGCTGCGAATGACATTTTTCCTGTGGTAATTTTCAGTCTGCGTCTGAGATGTATTGATCACAAGAGTTCTTGGCAAAATTTCCGCACAGCCCCATACATCATTATACATCCATATATGGGGCTTTATTATTCAGTGTATCACCAGTAAGATGTACATGCATAATTAAGTATGGGGCTATGCGGAAATTTTTCCGAGTTCTTGATCAGGCTTGCGTTGAAAAATGAAAGCCTTCTCATGTAGCGGATAAACTTCCCAAAGCTCAGCGCGGAACCAGTTTGCAATGTTGACAAACGTGACCTCACATGATTCGCTTGTATCTTACAGTTGCGTTACGACCTCTTCCATAACATTATTGATGATTTGTTTTATAATGAGGAAGTCGCAGTGGCTAATATTCGCAAATACGTCAAGAAAATAATGTTCTTTTTACTTCCGAAGCTTTGTGACATTAATGGAATCAAATTAAACTTCAAACTCACGATAAGACTTCTTTAAAACATGTCTGGCATGACTCATGCCATTACCAGTTATATCCGTTGACTTTGTTTTTACAGTTACTCGTTACGTTAAAACTGGGATAACATTTCAAATGAAGTGACAATATTTTAAATGACAATTAGCTTTACAATAGTTTGCACGCTCACGGGCGCAAATGTAGAAGGTTAGTCTAAGCGAAAAAATGATATGTTCTTATTGACCGATTGGGAGGGCTGTGCGGGAAAATATTGGGCTTGAGTTCATGACATACGAACCGAGCGCAAGCGGCCACTCTATAATGCTTCCTTTGTTCAAGGCAATATGTAGTTTTGGCTGCGTCAAGAATTTGAAGGACTCAGCCGAACATTTTTTTTTTACATCTAGGAAAGTGACGCAAGTGCTTCTGCATATACGAATTTTTGTCTGTCAATAGATGTTCCTTCACCTTTGTGGAAAATTGGCGAGTTGTCTCTCTGGTCAATGTAACAGGAGTTACATCCTGCATATTTAAAATTATATATCAGTAGGGATTTTAACGCATCCGGAATGGGGTCTTTAAAGCTTAAGTAATTTTTTTTTTATTTTGAAAGAGGTTGAGGCAATCCTTAAGTCAAGATCTTTGCTGAAAATATTTGACACTTCTGTAAGAGCGCCTTAAACTCGGTGGATTTTCCAACTTTGAGATCGTTCTTTTTAAAGTAAAGATTGCAGAGTTCCTTAAATTTCGAAATTTCATAGACATAGGCTTTCTGGAACGATAATATTAATATGATAATCGTGTAGTTGTCATTATTTCATTCATTGAATTTGCATAATCATCTTTATATTCGTATTTCCTGACAGCGAAAAGAGACGGAAAGCGATAGCCACTGAAAGGAGAAAACAAGCTACGAAGAAGCTGCGTGAAAATATTTCAAAATCTTCCGAAGGCAGTCACAAAGAGGAACGTGTTCCGGTGGAGAGCACTGCCCAAGGAGATGTATCAATAACAGTCGCTCACGGAGATTCAAGAAGGGAGAAACGAAAAGAGCCCAAAATTGGAGGAGTCCATCTGCACAGCGATCAACAAGAACACGTTGAAAATAACGAAAGTCGCGACTTGAAGAGGAGAAGGAAAAAGAGAGTTAAGCAAAGCAGAGTTAATACTACAACTTTGACGCCTGCAGTGACCTGTGGTCAGTTGAAAGAAGATGAAAGGGAACGTGTTCCAACACCGATGCCAGTCCACCACGGTCTGAGCACTAGAACAGATCTAGGGGAGAGCTTTCACGATGGGCTAAGGCACAAGAAGAAAAAGAAACATAAGAGACCACATCATGAAATTAAAGAACAGGACGAGGGGTTTGCTGAAGACAGCGAGACACGGCAGACTGGGAATTCGGAGGACTCTCTGATAAAAAATCTGCCCCGTCCTCGAAAATTGATCCCGTTGCAGGAGAAAAGCCAAGCGACCCCTCAAGTATAAAAAGAAATATATCTTCCGCAACGTTTCATTTTATAAGTTATTATTTATATATTTTTAATGAGGCCACTTAACGAGTTGTAAGATGACGTGGGATACCTTTTCTCTAGGTTGACAGGTAATTTAAAGCCAGAACTGTTGGTTTATAATCGATATTCCCGAATCAGACACCTTGGAATGCGGACATTTACCTCAAGCTTACACGAAATCATAAATCCATTCTGTTTTGGGAAAGGATTTTAGACAAAAGTAGTGCACAAAATAATTTTAGGTAATTTTACGTACCATTTGTCCTTTTTTTTTTTCTTTTAACGTCATCAATTTTTTGTGAATCTTTGAGTTCAGATGTTTTTTATTGCCCACTAAAAAAAAGGTTCCTTAAATATTAAAATCGCCGATTTCTGGATGCATCCAGTTAAACGAATTAATAATGGTAAGTCAACACATGGAATCGTGTTTTCCTTCAGATGCCGATAAAAATGAATACAGTTACAACCACTTAAATATTTCAGAACTTATTTATAAACTTACATTGCAACCAATAAGTTGATATTTCTCCAAACTGCATACAGCAAATGTTGACCCCAGACTACAATCATATTCGTCCTTAAAATAGTATACGTGATTCACACATGAAGGTCACGAGAATAAAGGAAATGATCACCAACTAAAGAAACTCTTGGTTGTTAAAAAATGCTCCTCATCACCTGAGGTAAAGTGCAGAGGACAGTAAAGAGAATATGCATACTGATATTAGGCTGTAAAGGGTTGATTCTACAATTATCTATGTGATTTGTCGACGAACGAGGAAACCGCAACACTTTCGCCTTTCCTCAATGAAATGTGAAAGCGTATGATTACCGATTCATGGAAATGTAACAGGGCCATATGGTAGAGAACACCTTCCAAATTTGGAACGCGCTTACAGCAGTAACTACGATGAATAAATCATCGGTTCGGATCCATGTTTGCGTCAGAAGCGAATTCGAAAATTGGTTACAGGAGTATGACAAGAAACACGTAAAAAAAAAAACAATTCTACGTAATGACGATTTGATAATAAAGCAAACATGCACAGCAAACATGGAACACGACAATGTGTTCTGTTGGCAGTGCACTTGTCAACAAAGCCATTTCGCATATAAAAGGTAATTCAGCCCCGAGAAACAGGTTGCAATAATTTACTCTAATTTGTTCATTACCTGTCAGCTCGTAACTATTCACTCAAGTGGAAGTGATTAGGGGTGGGTTTTTAACGAGCGAGGCCAATATCCACCCATTTTCACCGATGCTGGGGTGAATAATAAATTTGGTGCAGTCCACAAAAAACCAAAAAGATCTATTTTTTATGCCAGTTCACCAGAAAATGGTCGGGAATTAAACTCTTAACGCGCGAATTTGTCTTTTCGGCTTCTCGCAGATGAATAGTACTTGCTAGTCACATCCGACCAAGCCAATGAGCGTGTGAAAAAGGCACGCACTTTTCACTTATGTGATGTTTGCTAACACGTATTATGATTGATTTAATTGTATAGAGTAACGTAAAAAAGGTCTGTAGATGAGACTTCATGTTTCGAATTCGTTAGTACATTTCTCGATTTCGTTACTTAATTGTTTCGAATTGCGTGATATTGTTTCCTTTTCGAATATGCTAATAACGGAAGTCGTTAAAATATTGGACCGGAGGATTCAATTTGTTCGGAACTGCAAAACAAAAATTAAAAAATGAAAACGAAGAATGTTGTATTGTTAACTACACCATTCACAAGAGGACTGAACACTGAAGACTGAAGGAAGATCTTTGAGAAAATATTCGAAGATGCGTGCTGAAAGATTCGTCTCCATCAGTTAAAGCCTATGTTAGCAGGTTATAACCTTGAACTTGAAGGCTAGAATGAAAATATGAAAATTGCTTTTGATCGGAATCTTGTTTAGAAAAATTCCCTTTAATGTAACATTCAGTGATTTACAGGCTTTTATTTTGAAAAAAAATTGAATACAAAACTATGCATGTATGCCTAAAATAGAACTCACGAAGGAGCTCAACCTATGAGAAGTTGAGTAATCCTTGTGGAGGGAATACTCATCATACAACCAGAAAAAATGTTCAAAGAGCTTGAGCTTCCATTATGTCCGACACATTAGCAAAAAAACTACATGAATATTCAGTGTCTTAAAGCTGCAGCAGTTTTAGAACTTAGCTGTGTGGTTTTTACTCCTCATCAGAGGAAAGTAAACTTTTAACCGCATGATTCTGGCGCTCGAGGAAGTTGGATCCAGCTCTCTTCCACCACTCAACCACCTTTTCTACACACTTTTTTGATTCTGGATGCATTTCCAGGCTGTGGCCGTGTTCGCTGTCGTCTTTGCCCGCGAAGCGGTGCTTCTTGTCGTCCGGGTTGCCCTTGTCGTCGTCATTGAGAAAAGGATGGAAGGTGTTGGAAATTGTCTTGAACTCGCCATCTATGATTCCAAATCCTTCACCGACCACATCCACTTGGTTGCATGATTCCCCGAAGGCTTTTTTGTAGATGATGCCATGTACTTTGCCCGGTTCATTCTGCCATTTCTTTTGCAGCTCTTGAAATTCTTGGGTGTCGGTTTGCATGATGACGACATATCCACTTTTGCAGTGTGTTCCGTTGGCAGTGTACCAGTCATCAAAGCCATCTCGCCCGTAAATGATAATCCCACCGTATTTATGTTGACTTCCACTGTATGGGTTTGATTTACACGAAATGTGAATGGTGCGAACATCGAAACGCCTGCCACTTTCACTTAGTGGGAAGATCATTAGGTGTTCCCGTTCACTGTCTAGCACTACGTTGGGCATGAATTTTGATCCAGCCATGATGTATCGGTCGGTAATCTTCGAGTCAGCTGATTGATTGCACAAAGATTGATTCTTACGTAGAGAAAGAAACCTTTTGATGACCTAGATAAATTGTCGGTAGGAAGGCGAAAAAAGCCCCGAGAAACAGGTAGCAATAACTGATTTGTTCGCTGTTTTGTATTTATTCCATGTCATTTGGAAATTGTTCACTGAAGTGGAAGTGATAAGGGGGTGGAGATTTGACGAGCGACGTAAATATCTTCTTATTTCCCGGATACTGAGGTGAATAATAGCCATAGCGCATACTACGCAGGGACCACTAAACCCTCTTTTTTTTACTCTTGACTTTCGATTTTGCTTTTTCGGCTGCTCAGAGATAAATATAACTTGCCTCTCACATCCGCACTAGCCAATCAGCGCGCGCGAAGAGCACTATTCGTTGGTATGTAGAAATACTTATGATTGATTAAAAAGGTTAGTTAGTAACCAATTAGGTTTTAGAAGCCATAAACCCAAACACAAGGAGTTGGTTTCCCAAACTTGAGACGCTCTATTCAACCCTGGTTCGACCTAGGAGTGAGTTCCTCTCAATCTAAGATCTGCTCTCTTTCCCGACAACAAAATATTTCCTACAGAGTTTCCTGGGACGTTTTTGGTTACAGCATGAACAGAAAACCAATCACGATGGAAAATGCAGCAACTGTTTTATAACTGCCAAACGCTGCGCCTCGCAAGAGAAAGTCTGTTAAGGCATTAAGAGGAATACCGAGAACTGAGTCAAGAGAGATGAACAAAGGGTAAGTAAAAGCTATGCCAAAATTTATCACAAAATTTTATTTCAAAATCTTCCGAAGCCATTCACAAAGAAGAACGTGTTCCGGCGGAGAGCTCTACTCAAGGAGATGACTCAATAACAGTCACTCATGGAGATACAAGAAGGGAGAAACGAAAAAAGCCCAAAATTGGAGAAGTCCATCTGCACAGCGATCAACAAGAACAGGTTGAAAATAACGAAAGTCGCGAGTTGACGAGGAGAAGAAAAAAGAAAGTTAAATAAAACAGAGTTAATACTACAACTTTGACGCCTGTGTATAGATACAACCACTTAAATATTTCAGAACTTATTTGATAACTTACATTGCAACCAAAAAGTTGATATTTCTCCAAACTGCGAACATTGAATTTTGACCCCAGACTAGCATCATATCCCTCCTTAAAATATCATCCCTGAATTACACGTAAAGGTGACGAGAATAAAGGAAATGATCACCAACTAAAGAAACTCTTGGTTGTTAAACAAATTCTCCTTGTCAGCAACTGAGGTAAAGTGCAGAGAACAGTAAAGAGAATATGCATACTGAAATTAGGTTGTAAAGGGTTGATTCTACAATTATCTGTGTGATTTATCGATGAATGAGGAAACCGCAACACTTTCGCCTTTCCTCACAATGGAATGTTAAAGCGTATGCTTACCGATTCATGGAAATGTAACAGGTCCATATAGTAGGGAACACTTTTCAAATTTGGAACGCGCTTACAGCAGAAACCACGATGAATAAATCATTAGTTCAGATCCATGTTTGCGTGAGAAGCGAATTCGAAAATTAGTTACAGGAGTATCACAAGAACGAACATGAAAAAAAAAACAATTTCAGGAAATGACAATTTAATAATAATACAAACATACACAGCAAACATGGAACACGACAATGTGTTCTGTTGGCAGTATACTTGTCAACAAAGCCATTTGGCATGTAAATGATGATTCTGTCCCGAGAAACAGGTTAAAATAATTTGCTCTAATTTATTCATTACATGTCAGCTCGCAACTATTCACTCAAGTGGAAGTGATTAGGGGTGGGTTTTAATGAGCGAGGCCAATATCCAACCATTTTCACCGATGCTGGGGTGAATAATAGTTTCGTGCAGTCCACACAAAAACTAAAAAGATCTACTTTTTACGTCAGTTCACCAGAAAATGGTCGGGAATTAATCTCTTGACACGCGATTTTGCCTTTTCGGCTTCTCGCAGATGAATAGTACTTGCTAGTCACATCTGACCTGGCCAATGAGCGTGTGCAAAAGGCACGCACTTTTCACCTGTGTGATGTTTTTTATTAAAACACATTACGATTGATTTAATTGTATCGAGTAACGTAAAAAAGGTATGTGGATGAGATTTCATTTTCCTGATTTCATGTTTCGATTTCGTAACTTAATTGTTTCGAATTGCGTGATATTGTTATCTTTTCGAATATGCTAACTGACGGAAGTCGTTAATATATTGGACCGGAGGATTCAATTCGTTCGGAACTGCAAAACAAAGAAATTAAAAATGAAAACGAAGAATGGTGTATTGTTAACTTCAGCACAAGAGGACTGAACATTGAAGACTGAAGGAGGATCTGTGAGAAAATATTCGAAGATGCGTGTTAAAGATTCGTCTCTATCAGTTAAAGCCTATGTTAACAGGCTATAACCTTGAACTTGAAGGCTAGAATGAAAATATGAAAATTGCTTTTGATCGGAATCTTGTTTAGAAAAATTCCCTTTAATGTAACATCCAATGATTTACAGGCTTTTATTTTAGAAAAAAAATTAAATACAAAACTATGCATGTATGCCTAAAAAAGAACTCGCGAAGGAGCTCATCTTACGAGAAGTTGAGTAATCCTTGTAGTGCGAATACTCATCATACAACAAGAAAAAATGATCAAAGAGCTTGAGCTTCCATTATGTCAGACACATTAGCAAAAAAACTACATGAATATTCAGTGTCTTAAAGCTGCAGCAGTTTTAGAACTTAGCTGTGTGGTTTTTACTCCTCATCAGAGGAAAGTAAACTTTTAACCGCATGATTCTGGCGCTCGAGGAAGTTGGATCCAG